ATGGTAGAAATACTTTTTTGCAAGTTGAAAAATGGATAACCAACATAGAGAAATTGAAATTGTTTTTAGGAAGTCTGTGTTATCCATACTGTCAGAGAGATAATCTTCCCAAACTAAAACCAGTTGAGACAATTTTAGCAAAATGAAAGGGATCAGGACTCCAGAGATGCCTAGGAGCAAGCAGATTGTTAGAAAATAAAAAATCATGGAAATATCTTGATAAATCAAACTCAAAATCCCTACTTGAGGAAAGCTTAACTTTGGTTTCAGCAACTCAAAATTATATTCCTAAAGCAGCAGATGTGGCCAATCCCCTAGGATTTTACCCAATATTTCCCAAGGTAAAGAAATGTCCATAGGAACGATACTCACAACTTAAGAGCTAAAGCCTACAGACCTATGTTAATATTCTTTTCATGTTTTAACAGCAGCAGAAGCAGATCAAACACATTAGCTAAAACAAACAAAACAGCTTTATCTAGCAGCAAATAATATTCGACTATAAGGACATTTCTTTCATAGATTCATTTTCCCCTATAATTTACTAACTTATCCCTGTTTGCAGGGTGAAGTACTGTCAGATTCAGTGTCCCATAATCTGTTTATAAAGACATTCTAGTCACTTCTACTAACTCTACATTTCACCTTGGGGTTTTGTTCTAAAGTCAGCACAAAAGTCAAAAGTCTAAATTACCCTTGAAAACCTCCTTAAATTTTCCATAGAGAGGAGTATACTTGATTTTGTCTGCTTTGTACAATCCTAGTCATTAATTTTATATAAATGTATAATGTAATCAATAATGTGGCACAGATGGTAAAAAGAACATCATATACATAAAACTATGTCTTGTAACACTAGGATCTCACTTGGTACAGCAAGATGCTCACTCTATAAGGAACATGTGGAAGTGGGACCAATTGAGGGAAGAGAATCAAGACTCCCACTCCTAACTCAGATTGCTAAGTATATGTTCTTTGAGTGTTGTGCCCACCCCCAATATTTTAATTATTCAGTTACTGTATTCTGTAACTTAATTATATTAATAGTCTACCTCTGAACAAATTAAAGATGACAATTACAGCTGCATAAGAATATAGAAATTCTTCATAATGAGACTTCTGATAAATTATTTTCATATTATTATTGTCTGGTGCACACAACGTATAATGTTAGGTTGGTTTAAGGCATGTGGTATTCAGTATCTCTATAAAGAGTATGTTAATAGTGTTTTTCCATAAAAATAGTTTTATCTTTTTGTGAATTTATATTGTACCCATTACTCTGAGGATCAGTGATATTTCCTCCTATATTATTTAACAATATTTACTGACTGAATATATCAAACCCAAACTCTAGAACTGAAAATATATAGCTTAGATAATAAATATCCTGCCCCCTCCAAATGATGGTAATTCTTGAAATGCTCCTTAGGCTAGACAATCTAACAAAAAGAGGAAGAAAAAAAATCAAAGCAAAACACCCTTTATTCTTTATATTTTTCATTATCAGTGATGAACCTATTTTTAATCCTCCTGCTTTTATAAAACCAGAGGTCAAATATGCTATTCCTTTATCCAAATCAAATAACAATGAAATGTCATCCAGGGAAATAATCAGATTAAGAATCAGCTCTAGCTTGTATGAAAAACAT